GCGGCAGCAGCAGGAGCTAAATGTTTTACGCGAACGCAGTTACAGCAGTGAAAAAATGACATGTACCCTGAAACAACTCGAGGTTGTTTTTTGTATGTTAAAATAAAAGGCAGAGTCGTTCCGTGCCATAAAAAATTCTGTGAGAGACGAAAACGCTCGAAATTGGCATGTAGCAGCAGCAGCAGCGGCAGTAGCAGCAGTAGCAGCAACCCATTAACAGAATAGTTAGTGGCTCTCTTTCTCAAAAGTTACCTGACGGGGTGACTTGTACCAGTAATCGAGTGAAATCAGCGAATTCCCCCATCGGCTGGATGAAATTTCGTCTCAGGCTTATCACTGCACGAGATACTAAGCTTATAATCATTTAGTAATGTTTAGAGGACTTGCCGTTCAGCCGTGGCTACCTCTTTCTTTTAGTTCACATTTTGAAAAGTATGCAAAAAAATAAAAACCGTCTAAGAAGTAAGTTGTTGGGTCCGAGAGTTGAGTTGGCGACGACAAATACAGGATACTTGAAGTGGCGCAGAAAGCTAAGTTGGTTTATCCACAACACAATATTAGCCAACGAACCACAAACCAACAAAAGCAAGGGTATTTATACAGGGAGTAGAGCACAACGAATATTCTAGAATAAAGAACACTAAACGAAGCAACCCAATCTATACGCAGTCACAAAGAACATTCCAGAAAATTCTGCACAATAACCTACAATAGAGATCTCCCTAGAACTTCCGAAGATCATGATCAAAGATCATCGAGGTCTCAACATCAGTCATAAACATCAGTTTTCTCTCTTTCTTAGTTGACTTAAGGTTTTTTTTTTGAGGTGGCGAAAGGCTTGAATACTTCCCTTAGTACCCATCAATTCCTGCATCTATAAAAGCTCGTAGCTTAGCTTTTAACTCTGTACTATCTAATGCTTTTTCGTAATCGATGAATGGGGGATACAGAAAGAGAGGTAACGCTCCGTTGTGCGCTTAAACAGCTAAATTAGAATGAAAAAGTGGTCTACGCGATATCGGCCATGTGCCTTCTTTGTAACCGTAAATGTGTTTATAACGAAAGTTGCTGTTATGTTCAATTTTTTTTGCCAAGTTTTCATGTGAGTTGGAAAGCTGTTGCAGATACGATTGCAAAGGATTGATGAAAAAAAGATACAGGGTCTTGAGGAGCAGTTGACTGCTGCTAAAAATGAGAATGAATCTTTGAAGAAATTTGTTGGCGATATAACCGAACAGCATCGTTCCTTTAGTTTGGATTTGAAGGTACTTTTTTCTTTCTTCGGGCTGTTTGCCCTTTATCCACTATAGACTACAGCCATGATTTGTTCAGATGATGCTGAACAAAGTACAGACGGAGCGCGACCAGGCACTGGCAAGTAGAAAATCAGTCGAGGACCAGTTAAGCTTGAAGGAAAGAGAAGTGAGTGGTTTGCAGGCGAGATATGACGACCTGATGAATCAAATGAAGTCCTTAGACTCGGCTTCTGGTAAGTGTCATATTTTTGAAGATTAGCAATTTTTTTGGCGTTTTGGAAATGAATTTTTTATTATTTTACCGTAGTTCACCGCTTGGTTCTTTAGTTATGTGACTGGTAATTTTGCCCACTCGCTGTGATCAGTGCTGCTGGACAGCGCTTGCTGGCCATCTTGACATTTGAGTATCCACAGGCACCGATGAATTTTTCTGCCATCTCAAAATTTACATCAAAATTGATTTAAAATCGACTGCTGATGCTGGCTATAATTTGCATTCTGGTCCTCCAACTGTGCAGATAGTAGCTTTTTCAGCAAGTTGTAACTTTTCCAGCCCGTTTCGTCTTCTAAAGGGTTCATCAATCGAGCGACTTTTCAAGAAAAGCATTTAGCCTTATGCTTCTCGAAATAACTTTATTGTCTCATGACCAGCGCTGTTCGATTCCGACTGCTGCCATTTCTGGATCACTATGTTCTTTGTGGGCTAGGACTACTAAAAGTTATTAATTTTGATCCCACTTGGGCAAATTTTCGCGTTTTTTTCCCATTCTCCTGTTTCTTGGTGATCGATTTTCAAAAAGCGGAGTTGGTTGTTGTTTTTGATACTTTTGCCTTGATATTTTGTAAAGCTGTTGTTCCTGGAGCCCTCGTTGTAGCTGCCTACTTACTGTATGAATTATGCTTTATTGATTCGCTGTCAATACCATCATTTGATAATGATTCTTAATACAGCGATTCACTAGTTTCCTTTCCTGAGTTGGTTGTTTGTAGATGATGCTGGACATCGGGAAGAGATGCATCAACTCCGGAGTCGTATCAGCTATTTGGAAAATCGGTTAACCGTTGTGTCGAGGGATCTTGAAGGTCTGTTCATTGTTACCTTTATGTTACTTCTGTTTTGTCTCCTTGTCGGTTAACTGCTGATCGTTGTACGATTGAACTGGTTGAATGTTATTGCAGCGAGCAATAAGCAGTTGGCCATACGTGAATGTGAAATTGCCGAAGTCAGTAAACTAAGTAGCAGTATGGAGACAACGATTCTAGAACAAGGAGCTGTAAGTTTGACATTTGCATGTCAATTCGCGTAAACTCCAAGCGACCAATTTTGTTTCGGCTTTGACTTGGTTTGTTTATAATTAGCAGACTCATAGCTGGATGCTTTTAATCACCAAAGAAGACCATTTGAAGGCTTGAAGACAGTTATCCTTGACAAAACGAGTAATTATTTTTCGAATTGGGCACCGGCAGTCATGCCTTCTAGGCTTATGATTAGGGATTAGTTTGTATGGTTGTGATTTTAAGTTTTTAACATTTACATTCTTTTGTTATCATCGGGCCACATCTTCTCTGGGACGCATTTTCGTTATTCCTGCGGGTTTTTGTAATCTTACACGAAGCCGCTGCATTTTGCTGCTTCTTTTTTTTATCTGTCTATTTTGGTTCGTGTCGGCTAGGATCTCCCATGGCAAGGTTCTGTGTACCTAGGCGACAGCTCTTTTGAAATTTTGTAACTGTATTGTATGGGATTCAGTAAAGCATCTCTTTTTAAGTCAGAAATATCATCAGTTTAATCATAAGCAGTCCTCGGAAAGAACATCCATCGATAGACTTTTCAGTAGTAGCTCCTCTTCGGAAGGGTCATCGGATGATTGCCATTTTTGAGCGCTATTTAGAAAGGAGATGCTAGATTAATGCTAGTGTTAAATTTACTAGCGTAAAATATTTTTCATTTCATATCCATTTGGGATTTGAACTACCCGGCTAAATGTGTGAACTTTGCAGAATATTGTGGCGGAACGAAACAGCTTGCAATCAATGCTGAACGTAGTGAAAGAACAACTTGCTGAAAGGTATGAGTCCTTTTTATGCGTTTTTGCCTATATGCAAATTGCAAAAACGCATATTGGGACGACCCTGTCTG